GGACAGCTTGAGGCTCCTGTCTCAAAAAAAAAAAAAAAAAAAAGAAAATATGTGAAAAGCATCTGGTCAATCACTGCAAAAACATGCTATTATTTGTATAAAATCAGTAAGAAAAAGACAACAAATAGAAAAAATGGGCATAGAACACAAACAGGCAATTCATAAAAAAATACAAAAGGCCATAAGCATAAGAAAAAAGTTCAATCTTATTAGCAATTAGGGAAATACAACTGAAATAATAGGAGACACATTTTAAGCCCACCAGACGGACATGCATTAGTTAGATAACACCAAGAACTGTCAAGGATGTTAATGAATAGACACTGCAGGCTCAGCACCCACAGCACAGTGGTTACAGCGCCAGCCTCATACACTGAGGCTGGCGGGGTTGAATCTAGCCCCGGCCAGCTAAACAATGACAACTGCAACAAAAAGCAGCTGGGAATTGTGGCAGGCACCTGTACTCCAAGCTACTAGGAGGCTGAGGCAAGAGAACTGCTTAAGTCCAGGAGTTTGAGGTTGCTGTGAGCTGTGACACTACAGCACTCTACTGAGGGCAGCATAGTGAGACTCTGTCTCAAAAAAAAAAAAAAGAATAGACACTGCAACAGTCTTGATGTATAACCACTTTGGCAAGCATCCTGGTACTCTCTAATATGGTTTAAGATCCACACAGCCAATCACAGCAACTGCCTTTGAGAAACTCATATAAGTGCATGAACAATGATGAATAAGAATGTCACTGCAGCACTGTGCTTATTTTGAAAAACTGAAAACTACCAAATATTTGTGAAAATATATAATTGTTATATATTCATAAAAGAGAAAAATGAATGTACTAGAGGTACATAAATCTATAGATACATAAATTCACAAAATATGGAAATATCTCTTCTGTAATATATACCTGCACATATAAATTTCAAAAATATGAGGACTTGTTTCTACAACTTAGACATACACACTTTTTTAATATAAAAGTATAAAAACATGCAAAGTAGTATTGTATAACATTATGTATTATACATGTACAGAAATATTTATA